GAGCCATGGTGCCTGGCCTAAAGTGTGATTTTTAGTTGTGCAACCATCACCACTATCTCATTCCACAATATTTTCATCATCCCAAAAAAGAAACTGTGTAACTGTTAGCAGTCAGCCCCACTTCCCAATCCCTGGCAACCACTACTTTACTTTCTTTCTCTACGGTTTTGCAATTCTAGGCATTTCATAAAACTGGAATCACACAACGTGTGGCCTTTTGAGAATAGCTTCTTTTACTTTGCATGTCTTTAAGCTTCATCTGTGTTGTAGCACGTAACAGTATTTCGCTCCTTTTATGGACTCCTTTCATGGCTGAATAATATTCCACTGTATGCATACACCACATTTTGTTTATCCATTTGTCCATTGATGGGCATTTAGGTTGTTTCCACTTTTTGGCTATTGTAAATAATGCTCCTAAGGGCATTTATGTACGCTTTTTTTTAGACATATCTTTTCAATTCTCTTTCAATCCTTGAAGCGGGATGTTACTCAGAGTTACTGTGTAACTCTGTGTTTAGTATTTTGAAGAACTGCTGGACTGTTTTTCAAAACAGCTGCAGCATTTTACATTTCCACCGGCAATGTATGAGAACTCTGTAATTCTCTTGACACTGGATTCAACCCCTGCTTGCCTTACAATTCTGAAATTGTCAGGCCCAGGAGAGAGAATTCTGCAGCTAGCTTTCACCCATCTTTTCCCCGAAGTTATAGTTATGCAAGACAACAAGCTTTGCAAACTTTAAACGTCTGAAAAGAACACTTGGACCCCTGGGTGCAACTAGGGTGATTTATCTTCCTTTCTAAGGGGATAATACAGCCTTGATCCTTTTGACCGAGAGGAGCCGTGTATGGATACAGCTCAGCATTTCCGCTTGGCTGGTGTGCACAGAGAAGGAGCAGCACTCACCTGGGCGGTTTGCCGAGAAGTGTTCTTATTAAGGAGGTGCTGCCAGGCATGTGTCAGGTGTGTGTCTGCACAGCCTCACCAGCCTCTCAGTGGATCCTCAGGCTTCCTGGCAAGGAGCTGACACTGTCTCCAGTGGTTCCTGGGGTGTGAGGCTGGAGAGACATCTGTTCAGGTGGACAGAGACAGTGGGTACAGACTGCTTCCTCCTGGGTACCTGGCTGGAGAACAGGTAGACATTTGCTGTCTGCTCACGAGGCACTGGGGAGCAGAGACTTCTCGACTCCCCTTGTTGTTCTTTTCATGCCTGGATACATGAGGGATCTACTAGCAGTGGCTCAGACCTGACAGCCTCCATGAGGAATGGTTTGTCTGCACAGCATCTGGATGTGGGAGTGAAGTAATTCAGGCAGGTGGGGTGGGAAGGAGATTGCTAACCCCAAAGGAGCTCCCTTGTGCAGAAGGAAAATTACCAGCTGTGCTTATTCTGCAATTGGATGAAGGAAGGGCTTGCTCATTTTAGTCCATCTAAGGGGAATGTTTCTGGGAGGTGTAGGGGAGAAAGAAGCCAGGAAAACAATCCCATAGGATCGTTGTTGATGAACTAATGGCCCTGCCCGAAGGTGTCAGGTCCATTATACCTGGTGTACATTTATCCACAGCACATCTCATACCTATGGGTGTTTATTCATGCATCATATATTTATTGAGTCTGTACTAAGTTCCAGGAGCTTCTGGGATTCAGGAATACGACAATGAGTAAAACAAACGGGGTAATTGTCCTCATAGAGATCAGAGCCTTGTATGGTAGAGAGGCATTAATTAAATGATTGCAAGAATCAGTGGCAGGCAGGGTTTGCAAGTTGCTATGAGAGTGTATGAGAGGGGGAAAATGGCTTAGTATGAGGGTGGAGTTGTCCAGAAAGCCTTTCCTGGGGCACCCAGGTCTACTGGATGAACAGGTTTGGGCGTGGGGAGAAGAGCATTCCAGGTGGAGGGCACAGCAGGCGTCAAGCCCTGAGGCAGGACAGAACACAACATTCCAGGAATGGAAAGAAAGCCAGGAGGGGTGGATGGAGCAGGAGGAGAGGTAGGCAGTGCCAGCTGCTCAGAGTCTAATGGGCTGTGCAAGCCCCCCTGCCCCCACCTTGCTCTTCTCCCAGGAGCAGTGGGCAGCCATTTGGGGGTTTTAAGCTTGGTAGTAGACGGCCAGATTTGCAACGACCATTCAGTGTTGACTGAATGAAGTTGTGGTTCTGATTTTAGGGGTGACTGGGGCCACCTAAGTGAATCAGGGTCAACTGTACAGGCTGGGGAAAATGTAACTGTGAACACTAGATGAGCTTCATAGTGGGCAGGTGTGGAATCAAGGGGAAAGGGATGTTGAGGGAAGGAAGACGGGTCCCTAAGGCGGCATGGACCATATCAAGTCTTTCTGATGCTAGCTTTAGCCTCTGAAGGCCCTTCTGGCCTTGAATTTCTTTTTCTTTCTTTCTCTCACTCTGTCATCCAGGCTGAAGTGGGTGGCCCCCTGTAGCCTCAACCTCCTGACCTCCTGGGCTCAAGCGATTCTCCTGCCTCAGCCTTTTGAGTAGCTGGGACTGCAGACATGCACCACCATGTCTAGCTAATTTTTCATTTTTTTTCATTCTTTTTTTAGAGACCAGGTCTTGTTATGTTGCCCAGGCTGGTTTTGAACTCCTGATGTCAAGCGATCCTCCTGCCTCAGCCTCCCAAAGTGCTGAGATTACAGACCTGAGCCAACATGCCTGGCCTGGCCTTGAATTTTTGATGAAACCTGGGAAACCACATTTTTTCTCAACACCTGGGGAGTGACTCTTCTTTCTACTTGCTCAGACCTACCCACCAAACTAAGTGCTTAACACATGGACTGCCACCGGCTTAGAAGGTCAGAGTTGGAGGCCTCAGAGGTCGGCTGGTCCAGAGCTGCTCAGAGGGCTGTCCCTGGACTCTTGTATTGGCGTCATCTCTGGGGTAATGGTTTAAAAACTGCAGATTGCTGGGTGTTACTTTAGATCTCCTGAAGTAGAATTCTTTTTTTGTGGGGAAGCGGGTGGAGGATTTGTGGTAGCACCTATCAGAGGAATCAGCATTTTGAGCGAGTGTTCCAGGGGATTCTTCTGTGCACTGTATTTGTTTCCTGCGGCTGCTGTAACAAATGGCCACAAATGTGGTGGCTTAAAGCAACATAAACTCTGGAGCCCGGAAGTCCCAGGGCTGTGAAGTCAAGTGTCGGCAGGCCCACACCCCTCCAGCGGCTCTCGGGGAGAATCCATTCCTGCCCCTTCCGGCTCCTGTGGCTGCTGGCGTTCCCTGGAGCGGGGCAGGATCTCTCTAACCTCTGCCTGCCTCATCTCATCACTTCTCCTTTTTGTCTATCGTTACATGGTCCTCTGTCTTCCTCATGAGGACACTGGTGCATTTAGGGACAGGATAATCTCCCTGTGTCAAGATGCTTAACTTAGTCATAGCAGCAAAATCCCTTTTCCTAAATAAAGGAATATTTATAGATTCTCAATATTCGGACCTGGTTTCGTTGGGGGACCATTTTCTAGTGTGCCCAAAACACTGAAGTTCTAAAAGCATTGATGTGGTTGGCATCCTTCTGGTAGACCAGACATAGGAAACCGGAGCCCAGAGAGAAGTGACTAATCCAAGGTCATAAAGCTTGTAACTCACTTCTGAGATTGGAATCAAGTCTCCTGATTCCAAGGCCTTTCTGGGAATCCTGGCTCCAAGGAATAGTGATATCTGACATTCGCTGAGTGTCACTTCCATACTGTTCTAAGCAGATGACCTGTAGGTCTCATCGCTCTTCCAAACAACCCTTTGAGGTAGGCTCTCCTATGATCTTCCTGTTTATAGATGAAAAAAATTTAGGGCCGGGCGCAGTGGCTCACGCCTGCAATCCCAGCACTTTGGGAGGCTGAGGCAGGTGGATCACGAGGTCAAGAGATCGAGACCATCCTGGCCAACATGGTGACACCCCGTTTCTACTAAAAGTACAAAAAATTAGCTTGGCATGGTGGTGCGTGCCTGTAGTCCCAGCTACTCGGGAGGAAGAGGCAGGAGAATTGCTTGAAACCGGAAAACGGAAGTTGCAGTGAGCCGGAATGGTGCCACTGCATTCTCGCCTGGCCCATAAGGCGGAACCCTCCAAAAAAAAAAAAAAAAATTAGGCGAAAAGAGGTTAAATAACTTGTCTAACATGACAGAGTAAATTACTGGTGGAGCTGGGATAGAAACCAAGGTAGTCAGAGGCCAAAACCTTCACTCACAGGTGGAACCTCCTCCAGTCAGGTTTATTCCAAATCTGGCCTGTGAATCACCACTCTGATATTTTTTGCCTTGCTAGGAAATATGGACCCAAACTTTTCTGGCAGGAAAGGAGACCCCACTAACTACTTGCCTTCTTCTTGCTCAGAGCCATGCCTCCAATTCCTTGCTGAATATCTGCTTCAAGCTGCACAATGAGCCTTCTCATCTCAGTCAATGGGATTGATGCAAGGCAAGCAGGTCTTGCAAAAGGTGTGTGGAGGGGATGGCGGGGTGGGGGTCAAGGTCCTCATGGATTCGTCGGGTGTGGTGGCTCATGCCTGTAATCCCAGCACTGTGGGAGGCCGAGGTGGGTGGATCACAAGGTCAGGAGCTCAAGACCAGCCTGGCCAATATGGTAAAACCCCATCTCTACTAAAAATATGAAAATTAGCTGGGCATGGTGGTGTGTGCCTATAGTCTTAGCTGCTCAGGAGGCTGAGGCAGGAGAATCACTTGAACCGGGGAGGTGGAGGTCGCAGTGAGCCAAGTTCGTGCCACTGCACTCCAGCCAGGGTGACAGAGTAAGACTTCATCTCAAAAAAAAAAAAAAAAAAAAAGATTCTAATGGATTTCTTAGGCTAATGGCCTGGGATGGGCCCTGGAAGGTTCCCAGCCCCCAAGTTGTTTGCAAAAGGCAGAAGAAGAAGGTGGGGCAGATGCACCTTGGGTACATATTTGTCCCTGGCCATGACTCACTTCCTTCTGGAACAGGGCCTCAGGTGAAATGTTTGCCTGCTCCACCTCCCTTAGTGCCTTATAGCTCCCCTCCCAGTGGGGCAGGTGTCTGAGAATACCGTGCAGCCCTGTCCTTCTGTCCACCCTACAGAGCCCACGGTCATGGCAGCCCAGGTGGCTGGTGTATCTAGGCAGCGTGCAGCCGCTCAAGGTCTTGGCTCCAACCAAAAGGCTGTAAAGTACTTGGGCCAAGATTTCAAGACCCTAAGGCAACAGTGCTTGGACTCAGGGGTCCTATTTAAGGACCCTGAGTTCCCAGCGTGTCCATCAGCTTTGGGCTACAAGGATCTTGGACCATGCTCCCCGCAAACTCAAGGCATCATCTGGAAGCGGCCCACGGTAAGGAAGTGGGCTTGCTGTTGAGTGACGTACAGGGTGGAGGGGCCTTACATATGATCAGGAGGAACTGAGGGAGAAGTTGAGGCTGTGGGTCCTAAGTGTCTGGGTCTCATAATTCAGACCCCTCCACCACAACCTTTTGAACTCTTTTTTTTTTGAGATGGAGTCTTACTCTGTCACCCAGACTGGAGTGCAGTGGTGCGATCACAGCCCACTGTAGCCTCAACCTTCCAGGGCTCAGGTGGTTTTCCCACCTCAGTCTCCCAAGTAGCTGGGATTACAGGCATGTGCCATCATACCTGGCTAATGTTTATATTTTTTGTAGAGACAGGGTTGTGCCCTGTTGCCCAGGGTGGTCTTAAACTCCTGGGGCTCAAGCCATCTGCCCACCTTGGCCTCCCAAAGTGTTAGGATTACAGTTGTGAGCCACCACACCTGGCCTAAACTCTTGTTCAGAGGCAGTGAGGTATAGAGAGAAGAGCATGAATGAGCTTCGGAACCAGGAAAGGTAGATTTGAATCCTGGCTCTGCCTGTGTTGTCTTGGGAAGGTAAACTCTGTGAGCCTTGGTTTTCTCATATGTAAAATGGTGTTTACTGGCACCTTATTTTTCCGGGTTGGTATGAGAATTAGAGTTAAATCCCAGAGCATGGTGCCTGGAGCATAATAGACGCAGAATACATAGTTGTTATTATTGCATATGGTCCCTAGGCCAGTGCTCAATGGAAGAGCTCAACGCTAGATACAGTCAGCCCGCTGGAAAATTGTGAAAACGTCCTTGCTGGAAGGTGCACAATTGCTTCAGTTCATGAATTGACATTGTTCTGTCAGGCCTGGAGAGGGAGCTGGGAGCCGGGACTCTGTGGGTGCGGATGGAAGGCAGGGGCCCCTGGATGCAGTTACTGATACTACCCAAAGCTCAAGAACAAGGGATGGAGAACAGTCCTCCAAAAACGCAGGCCCACGACCCATCACTGTGCAACCCTTGTCAAGTGATTTAACCTCAAGGGTGAGAACCTCCTCCATACAGAGTGGGTGTGAGAACTGAGCTCACCCACACGAAGTGCTCCGTTCAGTGTCTGCCCTAACAGCATCTCAGGAGAGGGGCTATGAAATGACCCCGGCACCTTTTGTCTTCTAAACCATGATAGGGAAATCAAGTCATGGTTCTGATTTTCTTGGCAGTGGTTGAAAGAGAAGATAAAGGGAGAGTGCTACTTCTAAACTGGTCAAAATCACTGTCTAACCCCAGCTACCTCTACCCTTTTTGCTTTGATCCTGCTGATTTTATGTACCAGTTTTCATCTCTGAGAATAACTCCTTGGCCATGCTGCCCTCTCACCCACTATGGTCCATCTTCCCATCCCCCTCTGAAACCTACGGGGTTGCCCTGGTATGTTGATAAAATCTGGATTGGGAGTCATGGTTTTATATTCTAATTTCAAGAGTTGACAGCCATATTTCATTTCAACAGACAGTTTTTTGAGCTTCTATTTTGTGCCAGGCATGGGCTCTGCACTGATTGGGAAGGTGGTCAGGGAGAAACTGAGCAGTGGGCTGTGGTCTCAGCTCTGATGGAAAGTGTAGGGAGACACAGGTATGACTAAAGGACTGATGCCCAAGGCAGAATGAAGTAAGAACTCTACAGAGGCATGAATGATGGGCCATGGGAACCTGGGTTGTCACCCCTGGGTGGTGAAAAGCCTTAGGGAGGGGTGCCATTGCAGATCCCAAGGGTTTTGTGAGAGGGGAAGGAGGGGGAGAAAATTTTCCTTCGAGACCAAAGTCAGGTATCAGTTAACCTTTGCTTAGTTTTTCTCCTTTCTTTGAAATCCTTAGAGCTCTTACCTCCTTAACCACATAGCCTGTTCTTCCCCAAACCATGTCTTCCCCTGTTCTTGTGGTCTGTGGAAATGCGGTAATCGTAGACTGGATGTGTTCATTTGTGTCTGTCAATGGAGGAAGTAAAATTCAGAGCATGAGGCAGTGGAACCTGAGTAATGGGGAAGGTGAAACTGAAGGACTCCTATTTGGAGTTTTCAAGTGTGTGTTGAGTAAATAAATGTGTGTCAAGATTTAACTTCTTCATCCCTAATCATCGGTGAAAAATTACCACACAGCTGCTTTTGGCCAGGGTGGTGCTCACATACCACAAGGGTATACTAAAGGATGCAGACTTATCCTTTAACATCTTACAGATTATTGAATAGACTCTGGAATCAGTAAAGATTCTGATCCTATCTCTGTCAGGGACATGCACTAAATCCTGAGAAAATTAGCCTGTTCCTAAATGCTTCATTATTATTTTTTCCTCCCAAGAGGCCTCTCAGGGGTTTGCAAACTGATTGGGGTATCCAGAAATGTGGTGCATTATAAGTTCATTTGTTGCATTTACTTATTTATTTTTAAATTGTGGTGTGATACACATAACATAAAATTTACCATCTTAACCACTTCTACATGTACAGTTCAGTGGCATTAAGTACATTCCCATTGCTGTGCAACCATCACCACCCTCTATCACCAGAACGTTTTCTATCTTGCAACACAGAAACTAAATACACATTAAAAAACTCCTCATTCCTTCTTTTGCCAATTTCTTTTTTCTTTTTCTTTCTTTCTTTCTTTCTTTTTTTTTTTGAGACAGAGTCTCATTTTGTTGCCTAGGCTGGAGTTCAGTGGCACCATTTCAGCTCACTGCAATCTCTGCCTCTCAAGTTCAAGTGATTTTCCTGCCTCAGCCTCTAGGGTAGCTGGGATTACAGGCACCTGCTACCAAGCCCAGCTAACTTCTTGTATTTTTAGCAGATTCGAAGTTTTACCATGTTGGTCAGGTGGCTCTTGAACTCCTGACCTCAAGTGATCTGCCCACCTCAGCCTCCCAAAGTGCTGGGATTACAGGCGTGAGCCATTGTGCTTGGCCCGCAAGTTTTGACAACCAGTGTTTTACTTTCTGTCTCTATGAATTTGACTGTGCTAGGTACCTCATATAAGTGAAATTACACAGCATTTGTCCTTTTGTGACTGGCATAACTCACTTAGCATAATGTCCTCAAGATTCATCCGTGTTGTGGCATGTGCTAGATTTCCCTTCCTTTGGAAGGTTGAATAGCATTCTGTGGTGTGTGTAGACCACATTTTGTTTATGCATTCATCCCTTACTGGTCTTCGGTTGCTTCCCCTTTGGCTATTGTGAGTCATGCTGCTACAAACATGGGTATACAATCTTCTCTTTGAGACCCTGCTTCCAATTCTTTTTGTTATAGACCCAAAAGATATGAACCGTGGCTGGATCATGTGATAGTTCTATGTTCAAGCTTTTGAGGAACTGTCGTACTGCTTTATATAGTGGCCACGCCATTTGGCCTTCCCACCAGCAGTGCACAGGTTCCTCTTTCTCTACGTCCTTGCCAATGTTTGTTATTTTTTTTTCTTGAGATGAAGTTTTGCTCTTGCCACCCAGGCTCTAGTACAGTGGTGTGATCTTGGCTCACTGCAACCTCCGCCTCTTGGGTACCGGATTCTCCTGCCTCAGCCTCTCCAGTAGCTGGGATTACAGACACCCATCACCATGCCCAGCTAATTTTTGTATTTTTAGTAGAGATGGCGTTTTGCCATGTTGGTCAGGCTGGTCTTGAATTCCTGACCTCAGGTGATCTACCCACCTTGGCTTCCCAAATTGCTGATCTTATAGGTATGAGCCACCGTACCAGGCCATTTTCTGTTTTTTTGATAGTGGCCATCCTAATGGGTGTGAGGTGGTATCTCATTGTGGTTTTGATTTACATTTCTCTAAAGATCAATAAGGGTGAGCATCTTTTCATGTGCTTATTGACCATTTGTAGAAACATCTATCCAAGTTCTTTGCCCATTTTTTTTTTTTTTTTAAACAGGATCTTACTCCTTTTCCCAGGCTGGGCTGCAGTGGCACAATCTCAGCTCACTGCAACCTCTGCCTCCTGGATTCAAGTGATTCTCATGCCTTAGCCTCCCAAATAGCTGGGACCACAGGCTTCCACCACCATGTTCAGCTAATTTTTTGTATTTTTAGCAGAGTTGGGGTTTCACCCTATTTGCCAGGCTGGTTTCAAACTCCTGGTCTCAAGTGATCCACCTGTCTTGGCCTCCCAAAGTGTTGGGATTACAGGTGCGAGCTACCTTACCCAGCCCCTTTGCCCATTTTTAATTGTGTTTGCTTTTTCATTTCAATGCTGCTTTTGAGGGTGATTTTGTACTTCTTCAGTGTTGGGGTGTTAAGTCAGCTGCCTAAACGTAACTCATATGATCCTCGTTCCCACACAGGCATTAATTTCTATCTGCCTTTGGGGGAAAGGGGATAAGATGGGCTGAACATATATGTACACGTGTTTTTGTCCTCTCAATAATAAAGTAAAGCTTGATACTTAGATGTTTTCTGAAATCATACCATTTGACATTACTGCTCCTGCTGAGTGTTTCTGCCTATTCTTAAGCAATTGAACAAAGATTTGCTTGAGCTCTTGTCCCAAGGGTTTTAGGACAAGTTTGCCCAGAGGAAGGTCTCAAGGTCAAGCATGGGTTCTCAGGATGAGCTTTTGGTTATTCACAATCCTAAGGCCATTTAGGGTTGGGCGAGAACAGCAGTCCTATCACAAACAGCTATGTGACATCAGCGGGTGTTCTTAGCAGGTACATTTTTGCATCCTTATTTTCTGGCTTCCCCTCTGTGCTTGGTCAATGCCCAGCCCATGTCCTGTGGTTTGAGGAATGCCCAGCACGAGTGGGCCCTGGTGCAGTGCAGTCAATGATGTTCTTCCCTGAAGTGTCCACTTTTTGGCAATTAAGTGGTTTATTGATCTTAAGGAGAAATATGGCAAGACAGAAGTGAGGTGATGTCAGCTGCATAGTAAGGACCCAATTTAAGGGAAATGTCAAGGGGGTGAATTGTTAGGAAGTTAGGATAAGGATGAGGGTGAGAGGCCTCAGCTTGGAGTTTCCTCTCTTTCTTCAGCTGCTACATCTTGGATTAGCGAATCTGGAGTTTGCAGTTCAGCCATGATTTATTGCATGCTGGTTGTGTTTAGGTGCTGGAGAGGGGTCTTTGTGGAGCTTTGGTTCATCAGGGAGAGACAAGAGCCTGGGCGTGTTAGTCAGGTGGATCAGGTTTCTGGTCCCCTCTGTGCCATTTGCTAGCTGAGGAACCAGGGGAAGTTACTAACCATTCAAAGACTCAGTTTCTTCATCCATAAAATGGGTATAAGAATATTACCCACTTCACTGTTTTTTGGGAGTCTTGGGTTATTGGGAGGCTTGAATGGGAAAATCTAGCTATTACTACAAGACAGACTATCCAGAGGATGAAAGAAATGGAAATATGAACACAATGTATGGGAGTTCAGGGGATGAAGCAGTTAAATTTGACAGCGGAATTGGGGCAGGTTAATGACTGGAGACATTTGAGTTGGGCTTGGGAAGAGAATCGGGAGAGAGACTGAGGAGAAGCACAGGTGAGGGCAGAGGTACTGGGCTGTGGCAGTGCATCAGGAGCAAGTGTAATCAGAGGAAGATGGGAGTCCATTGTGAGAATCACTCACTGTGGGAAACTGACAGATAAAGCTGGAAACATCCAATGGGGCCAGATCATAGAGGGACAGAAGCGCTGGGCCAAGCAATGTGGTTATACTTGAAGGTGATGATGATAAAGATGGCAGCATCCCTGGGGGTTCTAGAAGTGCATAGCCAGAGCCTGTGAAGTGCAAACCAAAACTATCAGACGTGGTTAACGCCGTAGGAGAGCAGTGTGGCCAAGCAACCATCGTCACTGAGAAACTGTGGGTTTCAGTCACTTTGGATGCGTGGATTCAGCCTTGGATTCCTGACTGATACCTGCATTTCCTTATGCCCGGTCATCAGAGGCTGATCCTAGGTTAGAGTAGTTTGTATTTATGGAGTGTTTTGAGATGCTTGCTTGAGCAATAGGAAGCAGTATTACTAAAAAGACATGATTGTTATTAGAAATATAAAAAAGGATTCCAAGTGTGGGTAGGTGGAGCCTGCCTCTTTAAAACCTCTCTGACTGCCAATTCCTTTGTATCTCTGTTCTGTGTTCCAACAGGAACTTAGTAATGGAGAGGAGACTTGGGGAAAGTTCTTTGGGGATCACAGTGAGATGGAATATCCTTGCAAAGCTAGGGACCTTTTTCTTTTTCTTTCTTTCTTTTTTTTTTTGAGACAGAATTTCACTCCGTCACCCAGGCTGGAGTGCAGTGGCGCAATCTCAGCTCACTGCAATCTCTGCCTCCTGGTTTCAAACGATTTTATGCCTCAGCCTCCTGAGTAGCTGGGAATACAGGCACACACCACCATGCCTGGCTAGTTTTTTGTAGAGACAGAGTTCACTATGTTGGCCAGGCTGGTCTCGAACTCCTGACCTCAAGTGATCAGCCCACCTTGGCCTCCCAAAGTGCTGGAATTACAGGTGTGAATCACTGTGCCCAGCCCAAAGCTGGGGACTTTCTGTGGTATCTGAAAGATTCATGTAACATATTAGTTATGGCATTTCTTTTTTTTTTTTTTTTTTTCTGGGGAGGCGGCATTTTTGAATTATACTGAGCATCACGTCGTAAAATGGACATTCCATCTACCTTCAAACCACTTAGCACTATTCTGTATATTTCACTTTCAAGTGTCTGTAGCCTTTGCCAATCACTCTTCCAACCAGAACTCAAAATTTTAGCAGAGCTTGGGAGGTGTATTAGATATGAATCTAATGGAATTCTATCTCAAGAGCAATGTGACACAGGTAATTGAAGATACAGCTGAGGGAGTTATATTGGAAGCATCCGCATATTCTGCAGTTAATAGTTGAAGCCATGGGGTTGAATGATGTCACTGAGAGAGAACACTGGTGGGGTTACTGCTGTATGAAATGGGATAACCTCAGAGGGTTGAGGACCAAGGGCCGGGGGTTCTCTAATACTTACGGGTAAGCACAGTAGGGGAATGCACAAAGGAGACTGAGGAGAAGTGCTCAGAGACTTGAAGAGAAAATCAAGTGTGAGCGAGGGTGTGAAAATCAAAGGAGCAGAGTTTCAGAGAGGGAATAGCCAATGGTACCAAATGCATAGAGAAGTTAGTTATTATTGGTGACTTGGGTGAAAGGAGTTTCACGGAGCTATGGAGGTAGAAGTCAGATTTCGGGATACTGGTACATGAGTGGAGGATGAAGAACAGGAACCTATTTATTTATCTATCTATCTATTTATTTATTTTTTAGACAGGGTCTCACTCTGTCACCCAGGCCGGAGTGCAGTAGCGCAATCTTGGCTCACTGCAACTTCTGCCTCCTGGGTTCAAGTGATTCTCCTGCTTCAGCCTCTCGAATAGCTGGGACTACAGGCGCCCACCACCATGCCTGGCTAATTTTTGTATTTTTAGTAAAGACAGGGTTGTGTTATGTTGACCAGGCTAGTCTTGAACTCCTGGCCTCAGGTGATCCACCCGCCTCGGCCTCCCAAGGTGCTGGGATTACAGGCATGAGCCACCGTGCCCAGCCAAGAATCTATTTTAAGAGCGTTTTTAAGGAAAGAGATTCTTCCAAACCCCTATTGAGTGTACTCTCTTTTCTTCCCTCTTGATGATGCAACCTTTTCCTTCTTTTTTTTTTTAAACAACATTTAAATTAAAATCCTTTTTCTTTTTCTTTTTACTTATTACTCTTTCAGAACTCTCTGCCTTTTATTTGCCGAACAATGACTGCTTGGAGACTGGGAGCTCTTGAGTACCCAGGGTGAACATTTGCAGCTCCACACTTTTAGAACACCCAGATTGGCTGGTGCTACTTTTCTCTTTAAGTTGCTACCAGAGATTGCAAAAGATTGAAAAGGAAGAAACACAAAAAATGAAACGTCCATCACTAGAGGACCTTTATTTACAAATAAATAAATAGCAACAAAATAAACAAGCTAAATAACTTGTGATATTTTTAATGAAATTACAAAGCTCTCTATGTAAGAAAAGATGCATGTACAAGACATGTGATAAAAATGTGTATATGTATATAAATGTGCTTTTATATCTGAAGACAGTTTCTGGAGGTAACACTTAAGAAACGTTACCAGTGTGGACGGCGAGGCGGAAGGGATTTTGGGTTTTACACCATTATTTATTGTCAGGTTTTTTCCCTCACATTCGTGTCTTAATTTTTCAGTGAAAAACAGGTCAATAATTTTTTTTAATATTTGAAAAAAAAAATCAGCCCAGAGGAGCTGTTTCTGCCATGTTGGCAGGGGCTGGTACCTTACGTAGGTTATAGGGCCTCCACTTGGGAGGCTCCACCTCACACAACAGAATCCCAGATTCCCCACTGCCAGCGCCATACAGACCCTGTGCGTCTGCCCTCAGTCCACCCTCCTGCTTCCTGGTCCATTTTGATCCGCCATTTCTTCACCCGTATGAAGTAAGAACGAAATGATTCTCTCTCTTTGTGGCCAGTCTTTGATGTAGTGCGGCCCAGGATGCCTCTGATTAAATGTAGGCTGACTTCTGTTTTGTCCCTTGAGGTCCCGCCCTTCTCCCCTAGCAGTTTGGCTGGTGAACAGGGAGACCCATCACTTCTTTGGGAACCAATAGGTAGACTGCTCCTGCATCCTATCTTTCTGATGGACAGGCATCATCTCCCTCCCACTAAGTCTTGCAGCCATAGTCCCTGTTGGGCCCTTCTCATTTTTCTCTCTTTGTGTTTTTTCTCCTTTCATGGACATAGCCTACATTCTATTATTATGCACCAGCCTTTTTTCTCTGACTTTTTCATAATGTCAATCTTGATTTCCTATATAGACCAAACACACCTTGAGAGCAAGAACTAGATGGTTTATTTCTTTTATTTCTTCATTTCACCATGTTTCCCTCTTTCCCCTGCCTGCCATTGTTCAAAGGGTACTAGATACAGAACAGGCACTCAAAAAATCCTTGCAGGGTAAACAAAGAAAGGATGAAAAAAGCATGCGTCATTCCCCAACAGAGCGCCAGGGCCATGAGATTGCTTGTAGGCAGATGCCAGTTGAGATAGGTGAGTGCAGGAAGTGCAGGTCAGGGATGTGAATGTATCAGAGGTGAGTTCTCATTTCAGGATACATGGTACTTCTGACACCTCAGTATGTCTATCAGCACATGGGATCATCATCATTCAGTCAAGACTTTAACAAGTGCCCACAGGGCTCACAGCAGTTTGCTAAATATTCTTCTAATCTCTCTATGTAAATAGGGGTGTTGTCTGAATGGGTGAGATCATTTTTCATCACGTATTATCTCAGCCTTTGCCTTTATCCTACCTCTCTGCTCCTCACCCAAAACCTTTCCACACCCACACTCCTACAGCACACATGGAGTATTAAAACACTAGTCCTGGCCGGGTGCAGTGGCTCACACCAGCACTTTGGGAGGCCGAGGCGGGTGGATTGCTTGACGTCAGGAGTTTGAGACCAGCCTGGCCAACATGGTGAAACCCTGTATCTACTAAAAATACAAAAAAAAAAAAAAATTAGCTGGGTATGGTGGTGGACACCTGTATCCCAGCTACTTGGTGGGCTGAGGCAGGAGAATCACTTGAACCTGGGAGGTGGAGGTTAAAGTGAGCCAAGATCGCACTACTGCACTCCAGCCTTGGCAACAGAGTAAGACTCTGTCTCAAAATAAATAAATAAAAAAATAAATAAAAAATGGAAACACTATTCCTGGCAGGGGCTCTGGACTCCAGCTCCTGCTCTGTTCACCCCTGGCTGTGTGACTGTGGGCAGGGCTCCTTCCCTCTCTGGGCTTCAGAGTCCTCAGCAATAAAACAATGTGATGGGCAGGAGACAATCTCCTGGTTTTCTTCCAGCTCTGAAATCTGGGACTCTGATGTTCCCTTCCCCAGGCTGCCACCGTCACTGAGCATTTTGTGACTTGTGCTTTGTTCCAAATTACTTTCAGGAGTTGTGTCCCAGCCCTCAGTTTATCGTCGGTGGAGCCACGCGCACAGACATTTGTCAGGGTGGTCTAGGTGAGTAACTGGGGAGGGTCTTACTTGTTTTGGGAGAGGGCGGGTGTGTATGTGTCGTGAGTAAATATCAGATGAAGCTGTGAGACTTGACCGACTCAGTTAGGTACCTGATTCGTCCATCTAGGTTTGTGTTTTCGAGACTGCATTTTTCACTGTGAGTCCAAATGCTGGAACTACCTCTTGGCTGCCCCTAATAAGAAATTTTCCACCAGCTCATTTAACCACTTTAATGCTAGAGCAAGGAGCCAGGATTACAGGCATAGAGTAGCTATCTGTGCTATCCTGTGCTTTTGTTGTAGTTACCTTTAGGCAGGCATAATTTGCCCTATGGAATGGCCATGTCTAAATAATTATGGGCTGTCATAATAAGTGCTTTTATAATTAGTAAGAAAACAAGAATGATATTTTTCTAGCCACACATTCCTTCATAGGCCTGGGATCCTGGAATCAAGAACCTTCATTTCTGAATTTATCACATTCCTTTTAAATTAGGGGAAGTTGCGTTTAAGGAATAATTTCATTTAGTTTTGTAAGTTCTAGCCTCCATTGTCAGGAACCGAGCCTCTCCTTGGTAGCAGGTGAGCTTTGTTGATCTCATAAACCCTCCTGATATCAAGGCCTCACAGGTGGGAGCTTCTGCATTGAATTGTTCAACCCTTATATTTTATGGACAACATGGCTGTGAATTGAATTTGAGGGTCTTCCAAATCACCATCCAGTGACAGCTGCAAAATACAGAACTGGAAATGAAGGCGAAAAAGAAACAAATTCTGCTTACTGAAAATCAGCAAAACAAACAGAAACCTCAGCATCACATGGATCCTATAACCCTTTATTTATTTATTTATTTATTTTAGGAGGTTTTCTCTTTTTCTCATTCCTTCTTATTGCAATCAGGAAAGCTCTTTCTCTTCAGCCTGCTGGAAATTTTCACCATTTTGAAAATCACAGGGCATTTTATTCTAAATGCTTCCAATGTTCTCTCCTTTAATGAATATAGCAAATACACCTTAGAAAGAGACCACAGAGCGTGACCATCAAGCAGCGGGAATGATTCGGGCTGCCACACATGAGCGGGGGCCCTGTTCCCTGAAAACCACAGCCTCCATTTCCCGAGCTTTTGTGGGAGGGCTCACAGGGGGTGGCGTTCTGACCTTCTCTTGTTCTGGGTAAGTGTGGTGCCTTTTTACTTCCAGCTCCGTGTTTAACCTAATTAACCGTGTGTCTCAGGGACACACAAGTTCCAGTGAGCCTCAAACAGCTGCTTGTTAGAGATGTTTTAACTTTGGGAAAGGTATTTAATAAGTACCTTTTCCTTGAGGGGCTTGGGTGGATTTTTCTTTGAATAGTTTTAAGCAAGGAGAAGTGAGGGTTTCCAAAAAGTGGCCTGAGCGTTACCATGGTGAGTGTGTGCTGCCAATGGAGATGGAGGCTGGAAGCACAGGAAATGAACCCAACCAGCTCTCGGAATCCAGCTCACATCAGAACAAATGGGGCGGCCAGGGAGCCCAACCTCTGCGGAGGTGGTTTTTAATGAACAGAGCGGAAAAGGGCTGGGGAGTCCAACCTCCTGAAAGGAGCCGGGTGCAGACGAGCCTCTGTCGGTAGAAACGGAGACTCACAGCGCCAAGGCTATAACCCAGAGCGTCAGGGCAGGAGCTAGGGGCTGAGCTGGAACCGCCTCTGTGGCCTCTTGGATCTGAGTCAGGGCTGGTCCTGAACAGTGGGAGAGTTGTGAGAGATTAAGAGGAGAGGTTCCTCATTTGACATATGGTGTGTATTCCCAAAGAACAAGGCGACAGCACACAGCACTTGTTGAATTAGGGCCTGATATGAATTAATGTTTGTTAAATGTTCTGTTGGCTTTTCAGAGTACAACACAGCGCAGTGTGGTCTGCTCTAAGGGTTTTAAGAAAATATATGTTTTTTTTTTTTTTTTAGGATGGGGTCTGGCTCTGTCTCCCAGGCTGGAGTGCAGTGGCCCAATCTCGGTTCACTGCAACCTCCTTTTCCTGGGCTCGAGCGATCCTCCCACCTCAGCCTCCTGAGCAGCTGGGACAACAGCCGTGTGCCCCCAATCCCAGCTAATTTTTTTGTATTTTTTTTTGTAGAGACAGGGTTTCGCCACGTCGTTCAGGCTGGGATTTTTTAAAACAGTTGATTTGTATAATGAAAATGTCTTTTTCATAGAGTTCCGTGTTATTTGATCATTATTTTGAATACACACAGTGTAAAAATTAAAGCAACTGAAAAGCCCCCAGTGAAGCCTGTTTCCCACCTGTTTCTGACGCCATTGCTCACTGCTTTGCAGCCACTCAGAAAATTCCATCGGTCTTTCTTTATGCAAATTCAAGCAAATCTAAATACATATTCTAATTTTTATTCCTTTTTTGTATTGAAGGCAGCACATCATGAACACTGTTTGGCACCTTGCCATTATTTGGTGTTATTTCACTTAATAAGGTATTGGGAGCTCTTTCCGTAACAGTCTATAAAGACCTTCGTTCTCTGTGAACCATTCCAAGTATTGCACTCTCTCATGTATGCACTGTGGTTGATTTATCCTCCCTCCTATGGATGGTCACTTGAGTTATTTTCTCTCTTCCACTCATATAAAACACGTCCCTTCCCCCCGCTGTCCTTACTAAGCCAGATTTTCATCCTAAAAGTGTGAGTCTCTTGGCTACTATCAGAGCTTATGCCTGCATAAAGCCCAGGAGCTGGCTTTCCACAAAGACATATTTTAGGAAAATAAAGATTGAGGAAGCTGAATGCCAAGGATCAAATTGTTTCAAGTAATTTTTTCCTGTAGAAAATGACTTTTCTTTGGGTAGTTCAGTCCCTGCAGGAGGATAGTATGGTTTTGCCTCCACATAAGTAATAAACGAGTATATCCTTTGTTGAAACAGCCCTCAAATGAAAGCCCTCCCAGGACACGCAGGCCTCCTGGCACACTGAGGGGAGTCCGTCTCCAAAGTTGCTGTTCCTGGCAATCCCAGCCTTTCCTTGCTCCATCTTTTGAATGGCGCCCATTCTCACCAGGTCTAGCAAGGGCCATCCACACTCAGCGTACTATTAGAGTGGAAGGCAGTATCAGGGCCACTCCATGTGGTGACGGTATAAACTATAAGTGTGGGGTCCCCTGAGGGTCATGTCTGTGGGTGCTTTTTCCAGTGGACACTCAAGGGTGCACATCACTCAGGAAACGGCAGGGACCCAGCCAGTCCCTCCACTGCTTGTTCCAGCACAGCCTCTCTCCCTTGCATTTCGGCCTATGCACATCTTAGAGCATCTCGAGGCCTCTGTGGCCACTGAAATAGACTTTGTCCTGTGAATATAGTACCCAATTCTGGTTTTGTGCACACCCCGCCCACCCCGCCATAGTAAGTCACACCCATATGTCAACCAGAACTCCTTTGGTCACTGGCTTTCAAAGTCCAACCCAACTATTAACAGCTTAAGAGAAAAGAATAATTTATTGGCTCATCCAACTAGATTATGGAAGTGGAAGGGCATTGTTGGCCTTGAAGCCTGGTTCTAGGGATCTAAATATTCCTGGCACACTCTCTGCCCATCTTTCATCTCTGTTGGTATCTACAGGTTGGCTTCATTCTCTTCCATGACAGACAGGATCCATCTGGCAGGAAACCGGACCGCTAATGATTCCAGACTTTATCTCAGTATAATCGTAAACCAGCTTTGGTTTTACAGATCTCAGAAAAGGACTGTGATGTTATGGTTTGGGTCTTCTCCCACTCCCTGAGCCAGTTACTGCAGCCAGAGCAGTGAGGTGCCATATGGCTAGCCCAGCCTGGGCCAGGGACTCACTCTTGCTGTTGGGAGTCTCTCATGACTGGGAATCTCCCCTAAAACCAGAGAGAACTATCCAAAGGAAGGGGGCGTGGCCCTGGGCAGACAGAATAAGGCAGGTACACCTCAGCATGTAAATGAAGGGGGATCTCAGGTCTGGCCCAGCCTGCACTCTGCCTCTCCAAGGCCACCTCTGCTCTCTGAGCCCCATGGCCCTGGCATCTTTCCCCCTTTCCTAAATCCATTACCCTGCAATGCTCCTGAAAATGTCTTTGCCAAGGGCCCCTCCTCTCTCTCACTTGATCTACCACTAGCAGTGCCTAATTCAGCATTGCAGGTAGACCTGGGTCTTCATGGTGCACCTCTGGCCTCTCCACCTCAGTTTTCACAGCTGTAAAGTGGGGATATAATCAAAGCCAGCTGGTCAGGTGGTTGTGATGGGTAGAGAGTTGACACCTGGTTCCTTGTCCCCTAGGAAGTGGGGGCTACCATGGGTGGAGGTGGATGTTAATAACCCGGGGAGCCTGACTGTGCACTCCATGAGACTGTTACCATCAGTATATCCAAAGTACCTGGCAGCTAGCAGCGCCTGACGAGTGTTTGTTGCACTTTTGATCTGTTGGTGTAAGCCCTCTGCCTGTCATCATTATTAAATCATTTGAAAACACAGACAGTCTGAATCCAAGGTTTTTTGTATCTTTTTTTCTTTGCCAGCATCACTCTTGGCAATCAGGCTGGATCAGGCATTTAGAATAAAAATTCCGTCCTGAGGTTGCCTATATGTCTCTATTTTCAAAAGATTTCAGAGTTTCATGCAAACCAACTTGTCTGTGTGTCTGTCCCCAGCTTGCTGACACTGCTGGGTGGGTACATGAAGGTGATTGGAGGTGCTGGCTGATCCTTGACAGTGGAAGGAACAGGTCATGAAGGAGGCTGTCCCCAGCCCCTGATGGTGGCTGTGGCTAAAGGAACACAGAGTGCTCACTGCTTCCTGGGGATCCCAGTGGGGCTCTCAAAGTAAGTCCGTCTTGCACTGGCTCGGTAGTAACTGCTAACTCCACCTATCATGCAAGCTCCATCCAGTTCTTACCTGAGTGCATCCACAGGCAGGGAAACACCAAGGCTTGGTACCATTTGTGCCTATGGTTGTGAAAATGCAAAAGGGCTTGAATCATCTTTATGTTAAATGG